GTTCAGCAGTGGCCTCTACTGGCAGACACCCATCAACATCTTGAGATAAGCTCTCAGAGCTGGCTCATCACAGGTAGGTATGTAGGTAGGTCCTTTGAGTAACAAAACATCAGTGGTGGTATTTGGCCATATGTTACATCCCATGTTATCCCAACTGTAAGGCCACCAACAGAGGTAGTCTATATGCTCCATATTAAATAGAATCTGAATTGTAAATTGAATTAATAAAAAAAGAAAAGAAAAGAAAAATAAAATCAAAAATTCAAACCATTACATTAGAAGCATCTATTCTGCAGGAGAAAAAGTTTTCAAGCTTGAAGCGGAGTTTGGGATGGTGATTTGTGCCAGTGATCCAGAGCTGCTGGATAAGCTGGACCAGGCTGCTGAGAAAGGTGAATTAGAGGATTTTACGCAAAAGAGAAATATAATATTTGATTATATATGACATTGTAGTTAATTTGGTGCCCAATTTGCTGAAGTTTCAAATTTACAGTTTCTTTTTTCAGCCTTAACTCAATCTCTTCTTTTTGCATTGGAGGTTTGAGAGTCCTGGTAACTCAAGTGGAGCATGCAATCCCCAGTCCACAGTTCCTCGCCAGATTGGCTCGCCCTGCTGGCTATTGCCTACCGGGGTTAAAGCAGCATGTACAGTCAACCCACCCTGAGTTTAGCCTCTTCCTCAGCACCCACCTGCCTGTCCATCTGCTTCACAGTGGTAAAAACTATTTGTATGCTCGATACAAACTGTGGTAGTCACTGTTAAAGCTGTTTTACTGGACATTTTTACTACAGTAGAAGTGCATCCAGAAGCTAGATACAGTATGTTGTAAAGGCCAAGCACACGTTGATGGATTTTTATTTTATTGTTATTGTTCGAGGTCACTTTGGGACCCAGCAGAGGAGACATTAGCTTCTTTAAGAAGTGTAAAGAGGCTGCCTGGAATTCTCAGAAGCTGATTAAAAATCTGAATCTAACATCTAAAGGGAGTTAATGAAGATTTTGGCATTACAATGTTATTTTATTCATTTTTACAGCTATTTTATATGTTTTATTCACCCAGATTTTAAATTATAGTCTTTGTGGCAGTTTTATTTTCAGTTTTGTTGTGCAGTTTTATTTTGACACTTTTGTGTTGGAGGTGTGAGGTTCTCACTGGATAATCATTGGAGATTCAGCCTTCATGTAGAGGAGCTGATATGTAGGCTGTTTTTCACAGCCTGTAAATCATCCTGATGAAGACCCTGCACCAAAATCAAAATGTTAAAATAAAGATGATTCTTCCAGGCAGCCAGCTAGTGTTTCAGGATTTTTTCTTGGTAATTGGCTGAAGTTTTAATTGATGCAGAGTTGACACTGAAAACTTTTCTAAATGACCTACTGTAGCTCCTAACAAGGTGTCTAAAAACAGAAAGTAATGAACTGGACACTGGACATTTTGGCTCTTATAGCTCAAATAAAAATAGTGGCTAACTATGGGAATTCTTTCTTTTGTTCCTTAGAGATCCATCTGTCCATCTTGGCCCAGGTTCAGATTGTTGACCTCTCTCTGAGCTCAGATGAGATCCAGGAGCTGATGCTGACAAAGCTGTTGCAGTCTGAGTGTAAAGAGCTGCTGATTAAACACTTGCAGTGCCAAAATGACAGGCAGCTCTTGCAGGAAAAACTGGTCACAGAGGAGGTGACAAAACCATCATTTACCATCATACCATTATATCATCATAATGTTATTTAAATGCTCTGCAGTTTTTCAATAGATTCGACTTACATCTGTCTGGTTCAAACTGTTTGGTTCATCATTTTTGGTTCATAATAATTGATTAATTTTTTATCATAACATTTCCTGGGCTGCAGTTGTAATGGAGATCATGGGGCCTTTGAGACATAAAACATACTGTCACTGAAGATATTGCACACCAATCACTGACTTGGCTTTTGAGAGTGGGTTATGCATTTTTTAAATCAAGCTTTCACTCTGATCCTAGTAAATAAATAAAGACCATTTTTTCTGCCTTTAAGTCACACTAAAGCAGAATGCAGACCTATTATGCAATAATACATGCATATGCACTCTGACAGATGCTAATGTAATCTGTTGTATCTGCTGCATATCGGTTAACTGTACACTTTCTTGTTTTAGGATGCCCTGATGGATTACATTCTGCAGTCTAATCCCTCACTGCTGCATGACTCCGATTTTTTCCCTCATGTTGCTGCTTCTCAAGAAGCAATGAAGAAACTGCAGGCTGAGATCCAGCAGCTGAGTGAGGAGCTGGAGTACCATGAAGCTCTAGTAGCCGCTCCTCGCCAATTAGTCAGGCTGGCTGCTGCCCTCTACCAGGCTCTGCAAGAAGTGTCCCGTCTTTCCCCTGCCTACTACTTTTCCCTAAGTGGCTTTATCAGAGTTATGCAAGAGGCCATCATTGTGAAGAGTGGGCTATTTGTCTCACATACCACTAAGAAAGTGCTAGGGGGTATGGTATCAGAGATCACAAACAGGATGGTAGCCCAGCTTCTGGCCCATTACAGGCCCTGCCTCTTCAAGAGCCATGTTGCTGTCCTGAAACTGCTGGTGTCTCTTGCCCTGCTCCAACACAGCAATCTTTGTTCTGAGGGTGAGAGGGTGGCTTTCCTCAGGGGCCTTCAAGACACAGAGCATCCTATAGCTAAAGTTAAAGTCTGTCCCCTTTCTCACACTGCCTCGCAGTCCACCAATTCTCTGCCCAGCTGGATACCTCCTCATACCCATCCAGAGCTCCTCCTCTTGCAGGAGATCCCTCCCTTCAGAGGGTTGATTGCCTCTCTCTCCACTTCCCCAATACAGTGGCAGGAGTACCTACACAAACCTTCCTCTACTGTGGTAGGAGCTGTTCCCTGTCGCTCTCATGCCCATCTGTCCCTGCTACAGCGAGCTCTACTGTGGAAGACCATACTCCCAAACTGCCTGGAGGGACTAGCTGAGACCATAGCCACATGCCACCTTTGCCTGCCCAGACAGAATGCGGGGTCTGACATCCCTCACACTGGGAACCCCGAAGCCCTCTCTCAGTACCTTGTCAAACATGAGGGACCCATCATTCTTGCGCTGCGAAGTCCAAGTGGAGAAAGATGGACAAGCATTCAGCCTCTTCACTTAATCAACACATTGGCCCACTGTGTAGCAAAGACAAAGAAGGTAATACATACTGTACAGACATAACTGTAATTCCTGTACTGAAGTACTATTTTATGTTTTTCTTATCTTTTTCTTAATGAATGTGTTTTAGGTTCAGGTGAAAGTCATTTCTTTTGGGGCTCTGTGTGACAGAGATGTTATTCTCTCATCACTGGACAAAGCAGTTAGTGATGGTCACTGGTTGGTTTTTAATAACTGTCACCTTTTGGATCAATGGGATAATAAAGTTGTGGCTCACCTCAGTCACTTGATCTCCCCTTTAAAAGGTAGGTGGGTCATCAGGAACCAGTAAACTGGATCTGTGTTATTTACTGACACTGAGAAATGTTTCTATTACAACTCGGTATTTCTGTTTACCCATCCATCTGTTGCTTGCCTACCTACTGTACCTGCTGCACAGATGAGCGACATCCGGTTCACCCATGCTTCCGACTGTGGTTTATAACTCAAGAATATGAGTCATGCTCCATTCCAGGTAGGTCATTAGTCTTGCCATCACTATCATCTTCTTGTCAAGAGCAGTCACCAAATGTCCAGTATATGGAATGAGCCAGTCTCTACAATACGTTTCACCATGACCACTTGGAACTAAGCTAGAAATATTGTCCAACACAGAGGGTCTATGTTGTTCATTGGCTCCCACAATCTAAATACTGTACACCCATGACACTGTGTGCACTCAGAGCAAAAGTATAACCATGGTTTTCTATATCAATCTCAATTTTTGATTTAGTGTTCTCTATTTTATATACATAAAATGGATGATTGTCCCTTTGTAAGCTAATTTACCATTTTTATCATTAAACAGTGGCATTGCGAATGTGTGCCCTACCTTTGGCCTGTGACTCTCCCTTGGATCTTAAGGAGGAGCTGAGCTGCTCCTTGCAACAGGTCATTTCCATCATGCAGTCACAGTCAGATGTCACAGCAGACAACATGGAGCTCCTCCTCTGCTGTGCCATCTTCCACTCTGTCTTGTTACAGAGACAGACCTATAAATACTTAGGCCAGGGAAGAATCTACAACTGGTGAGGAAATGAGCTTACATGCTGTATAGTGTACTTGTATACAGTAGACGTAGATGTGTTACCATGGCAACAAGTTAAACCAGTGATTGTTATGATGGCTTTATGCTTGTTTCTGGTTCGAAGGAGTCAGGAAGACCTGCTGGCTTTGGTGGATGCACTCAGTTGGGTTGCCAGTCTCTGCCATGGCAAGACTGAGGTTTTGCAGTATATAGCAGGTCAGACAGCATTAACAGATAAAACTGTCCTTTAGTTCTGTTACTGAATACTTTAACCATGTTGTACTTGTCATTCATAGTCAATCTAGTGCACGGTGGCCATGTACTTGACTCTGCAGATTTGGAAGCAGTGGAGAGTGTTGCCAAGTCCTGCCTCAGCAGAGTGTCACCTCTCTGGGACAGTGGACCACACATCCTCTCAGAGGTTATCAGCAATCCTGGCCACTTTGGTAACCAAATTACTTCCTAGATTTTTTTTATTGCACTTACCTTTTAAGCATTTTGCTGAAAACTTTATGCTGAGCAAGCTACATGATTGCATCATTAAAATGAGGCTACATTTCTAAATGATTGCTTCAGACAACAAATAGCAAGATGTACAGGCATTAAAGTCACATTGTCAACTATTCTGTGTGAGTATAATGTAGTGCTTTGTGTCTCTGTCTCATGTTGTCAGATTTGTCAGGGCTACTGCAGAGTTTGTGGCAGTGTCTTCAGGATTCAGAAAACATCAACGACACCCTCGTGCTGGGCTTTAGTGCTGATGTGGCAGCTGAGATGATCAAGGTCAATAGTCACAATTTGAACGTACTACTGCAGGCCTCCCAGACTCCTCTAGGAGGAATGAGGAGTTTCTACACCCAGCTAAACCAGCCCGCCACAGTGCCGACCTATAGCCACGCTAGAGACAGACTGCAGGCTCTGAAGAGTTACCTCAAAAGCAAGAATGACAGCAGCATTAGAAATGCAGGACCTGTTCCTCACAGTCCCATTCGTGACTTCCTCCAGGCTGAGTGGGATGATCTTATTGATTTGGTGTCCTTGCTCCTCTCACAGCTCCAAAAGCCCATTCAACACAACTTGCTGACTTTTGCTTCTCTCCTCAAACTCACTAACTTGTCTCACTTGGAAAAGAGGGCAGAGTTGCTTTGTGCCTATCTCTGGCACCACGGCATTTCAGATCCACCTGGTACCTACCGACTGTCTGCTTTCAAAAATGCCAGAGGCTTTCTGGTGGCAGTGATCAGAGAGGCTGCTCAAGTAAATCGCAGATATATCAGTGATATACAACTGCATTTTCAGGTAAAGAATGCAAGTCATACTAAAATTGCCTTTCATTTTGCACATCATGCAGTTTGATTACTTATGGTGTTCTTGTGCCTCCAGGTTCTGAGCGATAACACATACCCAGCCACACTTCCCCTGGACACTGTGTATTTATGTGGCCTGGAACTGAGAGGGGCATCATGGGATACACAGCTAGGAGCCCTACAGGACACAGCTTTTCCCCAACCATGCTCAATGCCTCTTGTTTGTGTCAAGGCTCAAGTCAGGAACACAAATAGTGTCCAAGATTCCTTCGCTTCTACAAGTTCATATTTAATGGACACAAGCAATGTTCAAGTCTCAGATGCTTCTGCAGTGGCTGCCCCTCAGTTACCAGTCTATCACTGCCCACTCTATCAAGATGAAGAGAGAGTGACAGGAGACTGGGGGCTGGCTGATGTTAATATGATCACTAAGGTCCCCCTTCATACCAGGTTGAGTCCTGTGTTGTGTAGTTTAAGAAGGGTGAGGTTAGTGAGTATGCTCTGAATAGCTCATCTGACCAGCTTGGTTTTATCTGCTGTGGTGCACCAGACTGATGCCATAATACAGTGATGCAGTTATGATGCTTTCTGCCTTCTACATAATCAACCCTGTATTAATAGAAAGCCAATACTATGAAAGCACATGTACGATCTTGTCATTAAGCCAACTGCAGTTACTGTATAATGTCTGTTTACATGTTATGTTTTGTACTGCTTTGAATTTCGTTTTTCATTAAAGCACATTGTCTTATTGGTGATTTATAGTAACTTGTATGCTGTGTATACAGCTGAGATGAGTAGCTGGGTTACTGTATTTATATATTCAAAGCCTTGGAATATAAATGTAAATACAGATTCAAAAGAAATGTATATGTCTGTTTTTGCAACCATACAAATGATAAAATACCCTCAAATCAATTTATACTTGGAAAACATTTTGACAGGCCTGTTGTCGTCAGGCTTGGCACATTAAGTGTATCAGTGTTACCATAGTGGTATGCATCAACTGTATTCCACCTGTATGTTTAATTCTATCCAGGAATGTTCATATTTCTGATATACAGCACTGTGTGAACTGCATGATAGGATATTTACAAAAGATATGCAGAGGAAGTGTGTACTGAGCAGCTGCAACCTATTTGTTGACTATAGTAAACAAACACTAATCTCTCTTCCTCTAGGTAACATGGACAGGCATCATTATGAAACATTTGAGAAGTTTGGGAACAGAACTTTTCTGCTGCACCTTGACAATGGGAGGGCGTGAGTATTTTTGTTGTGGCTGTGTTTATGTTAAGGCACAGAGTATCCGTATATAAATAATTGGCATAGCTGTTCTTGTGACTTGATTGACTCTGTGTGTCCTCTCTGCAGATTTGGGCGTCACTCCAAAGATGAGCCTTCTATCTTATCTCCACTAGAACAGTGCTGCAGGTACAAATATGAGTGAAACTAAATTACTTCCTCTTGCATTAGTGTTCTGTTTAGCACAGTTGACTTTAATCTGATCTTGCAAAATTCGTATTGCCTTAAATATCTTTTCAAGCAAAAGAAACAGTCAAGTATGATATCACTTTACTATCATTCAAAGCAATGATGAAATGCGATTTTTGTTAGCAGGGGGGTTAAAAGCTGAATTCAAGAAATGCAAGAAGCACCCATAATTCCACAGTAAAAGTCTTTGCTGTAATCATCAGACACAGTTCCTACAACAGTACACCCTCTAAACGCCCTACTCATCCTGCTCTGTTCTCTCCCCAACACCTTTTTCTTTGACCTTGGTCTTCCTCTAGAATTCGTCGCTCCACATGGCTACGCCTGCGTCTCCTTTCTCTGCCTCAGTATCGTCTCAGTGATGTCATGCGAGCCTCGCTCTCCAATGATCCGCTTCATAGTGTGGCTCCACTGTTGTCAGAGCCCCACCTTGCTGCTCTCGATCGGCGTTTGAAAACTGTCCTGGAGACTGTAGGTCGTTGCCAAAAGCAACGGCAGGAGAGTGGCGATCATCGTGAGGTTATCTATGATGACAT